ATATTGTCTAATTTTTCACTTTTCCACTATCTCAGGATGCTTATAAAGGCAAATGTGTTGGTTTAAGAATAGTGCTGCTGATTAAACTATTAGAAATTTCAAACAGACCAAATTGTATCATTGCTACATTTCTAATCCCATCAGCTGTCATGACCTGCCTGTAGATGTTGTTGGTTAGATGAAGAACTAGGCTAAAGATATGTATGTCATTGGTTCTTTATATACCCACTGCCACTACTAGAAAAAAAAATACTTAAAGAATTTATGGTAGTGCTTATAGGTCAATCATTTCATTTTGAAATGTAGAAGATAGCCTGATTTATAGTATTACAAAGTTAATCATGTGTAAATTCTTTTGCTGTATACCTTAGTTAGCAACATAGCCAATGAAATTACTTAAAGTGGTAGAAAATTTACTTGGTTTTCTATTGATGTTATCTGTAAAGTTATTAATATACTTTTAAAATTATTTGGTAAGCACAACAAATGCAGATGTAACGATAGATGCAGGCATACTATTATACATTACAGAGACTAGTCACCAAATAAATACATTTTTATGTCAAACTGTAAAACTGAGAAAGCAGAAGAGATATTAGCCTAAACAGAGTCCTATAGAAGCAGTTTTTTTCCCCTGAGTAATGACTAATTTTTTTCCACTCTTTCTGAAATGATTTTTGTGACTCTGCTTTTAGACTCGCCCTTTAGCACAGGAAATATTACTGATACTTATCTTCAAGTATGTGTTTGCTGAGTATATGTAAACTTTTGCAGTGGAAATATGAAAAGGAAGGTGTTAGGTGTTGTGATCTTCGAAAAATAGCATTATGTCCCTCAGAACCCTTTTTTTTCTTATGATAGGGCAAGTCTAGTCTTAAGCATACTTATGTATAACAGGATTTCTACTTAAAATACTTTGGGTACTGATTATTAATGAATTTTTATAGATACAAACCAGGACTGTAAGTGTGCTGTTTTCTGTTTTTTTGTTTCACTTCTTTTAACTCATTCATTTGGTGGGCCCCCTTGCATCCTTCCTTACATCTGTCTACCTTTTGAAATTATACGTGTCCAAAAAGAACTGGCTGTGTTCTTCATTGCAGACCACCTGGTGGCCCATGGTAGAATGGCAGAAAAGGAGGCCCGTCGGAAGTTCAAACAGATCGTCGCAGCCGTCTTTTTTTGTCACTGTCGGAACATTGTTCATCGTGATCTAAAAGCCGAAAACTTGCTTCTGGACGCCAATCTGAATATCAAAATAGCAGGTGAGAATCATGTTCAGGATGTGAAGTAGGAATAAAGGAGCTTTTCTTCAGGGTTCTTAAAGCAAGGCATTGTCCATTTCCATCTATTAAGAAAGAAGTATTGTGCAAATAAAGGATTTTTGTGTGTGTGGCTTGAAAACTGATTGTTTTCAAAATACGTTTATGTTATTTTTCTGCAGTATTAGATGGAAACTAGGGTTAGAACTTACAGTAATTTAAAGGTAGTCCATCCCTGTTTCCTCAAATTTCACTCATGTGCTCATCCCACAGTGCCTAAAAAGCACTTTTTACTGCCTCAGATTATTCATGCTTCAATTTTAGTAAACTATCAGCATTTGCCTAATCAGTAACAAGCCCACCACCTATTGATAGAAGATAGTGACTGCAGTCTGTATAAAAACTCTAAGTATGAAAATAAACTATTTTTGTTTTCTGACAGTTTTTGGTATTGCATTGTATGTCCCCCATCTCCCAGATAAGAAGGGAGAAAGTCTCATATAGAAAAGTAAAGCTAAAATATGATTGCCTTGAAAAGCCAAGGTAAAAAACAAATCTAAAGATTTCACTCCTTAATAGGGTGGGAGTTGAGAATTCATATTTATATTACAGGTCAAAGTACCTACATGTACCCTTGCAGGTTGAGGATTCATCTGATAGCTTCTTTTGTGTAGATAAGTCTTCACTTTTTCTAGGCTCTACTTTTACACCCTTGGAACATCATCTTAGCATTTTATGTATCTGAGTCGGCTGATGGATGCACTCTTGTTTAGAACTTTCACATAGTTCTAAGCTCTTTGAGTCCTACACTTGCTCAGTACATAGTAGGCAGGAATTAGGTGCCTCTTAAAAATCTTACATAGGGGGCCGGCTGAGTGGCTCAGTTGGTTAAGAGTTAGCTTAAGAGCGCAAGCTCTGAGCAACTGGGGCACAGGTTTGATTCCCACATGGGCCAGTGACACTGCACCTGAGCTGAGCTGCTGCTGAGCTGCCAACCGGTGGCAGGATGGCTCAGCTGGTGAGAGCACGTGCTCCTAACAAAACTTCCTGTTCAATGGTAGGCTACGCCCACCCACAACTAAGACTGAACTTGGCACCTTGAGTTGAGCTGCCGCCCGGGTGGCTCAGTGGATAGAGCGTGCACTCTTTAACAACAAGGCTGCTGGTTCGACTCCCACATGGAATGGTGGCTACGCCCACCTGCAACTAAGATTGAACACAGCACCTTGAGCTTAGAGGCCACGAGCTGCTGGCAGTCAGCCAGATGGTGACTGGCACCCTCCACAACTAAGATTGAAGAACAACAACAATTCCCCAACACTCCTCCTTTCCCCCCAATTCTCCAATTTAAAAAAAAAAATCATACATAAAATCATGTTTTCCTTTGCCTTTATGTCTGTTTTATATTCTCCAAAGCTCTCTAGATGCTGGCAGTTCCCATAGAGGTAGGTAGCGTGGCAAGGCCTGGCAATTTCAAACCTTCTTTTGTAATTATTTGTTGTAATTTACTAATGTTGCTATAACAAATTACCACAAACTTAGTGGCTGGAAACAACACAAATTTATTATTTTACAGTTCTGGAGGTCAGAAATCTGAAATGAGTCTGACGGGGCTAAAATCGAGGTGTTGGTAGGACTGGTTCCTTCTGGGGGCTCTGGAAAATCCCTCTCCTTGGCTTTTGTTAGCTTCTAGAGGCCCCTGCATTCCTCCGCTCCTGCCCCTTCCTCACATCACTCCACCTCTTGCTTCCATTGTCACAGCTCCCACTCTTAATCTGATCCTCCCACTTCCGTAGCAGAAGGATGAGGACCCACGGGGGTTACAGCGGGCCCTCCTGAATAACCCATGGCTATCTCTCCATCGCAGCATCCTAATATAATCACACCTGCAGAAGTCCCTTTTACCACTTGGGTAACAGCTTCACAAGTTCTATGGATTAGGACATGGATGTCTTTGGGGGAGGGGGCTGTTAATTAGGCTCCCACAAATGTTATTATAGGGTCTTTCGATTACTGATTTAGAGTTAAAAGAAGGCCCTGTATTTTCTTCTATCTATTCCACTGACCAAAGGTTTAAAAATAATTAATGGTTCCTTGCTTCTTGGTTTTGAATTTAGAATCATTTTGATTTAGTTAGGGAAATTTGTATGCTTTCAGTTTTTGCATTGAGAAAACAAGTGTAAAACACCAGTCAGTGATAATTGAAATTAGAAACTCCACTGACAAATATTTGGGTAAGGAGATTTTTAAATGCTTTTCTTCGTTAATAGTTAAAACAAACCCAGATAGTGACAATAAGAGTCTCTACCTGCTGATGCGTAATTACAGACTCCTAGGGATCCTGGCAGCCAGCCTTGGGCTCTCTGTGTTAGCACGTATACTTTGGCAAGTTTTTAAATTCATTAACCCAAAGTCTGCTTTTTTATTATTTGTTTTTAGAGCAAAATAAAAAATAAACGAACACCTCTAGTTTTGTGCTCTGCTATAAGGTCTAACATTGTCTGTGCTCAGGCATTCTTTCCTACATGCCACCATCATTCGGTTTCTCAGTCATCGCCTGAACTATGTTTCTCATGCATAAATTAGATTGAATTCCCATTCTCATTTGCCAAGTCTTCTTTGAACTTAATAGACCAGTGGGAGAAATGCTTCTAGTTGAAGCTGACTATAGCATGACTAATTTTAAAGAGGTAGGTTGGATTGTTCTGACAGGATAAGGTCAGATACATAATGAAATCAACTTTTTATTCTAAAAGCTTAAAGTAACTTGCAGATACCTGAACTTTTCGGTGGTCTTTCTGATGAAGTATTACAAATCTCAGTAAGAAGGAGCTACTATATATGAAACACATGAGATAAGAGGATTTTTGTTTTATTTAAAATATTGTCAGTCTTAAGCACCTCATTTATCCTTATATCTGTTATGGTGGCAAATTAATGTGGAATTAACAAAAATCCAGATTAGGAAATTTAAGGAATTCATGTTTTCCTTATGCCAGTGTTTACCTAAGTGGTTTTGATGAAAAGATTATACATCCTGTTCAAATGTAGAAGGTGAATAAGTTGTTCTGGGGATGTTTGTGTTTACATTTATTTTTACTTTTTGTGTGAATTAATGTGGCAATTTATATTTCATACTTGATACTATAAAAAAAAATCTAGCTATTATAAAAGCCCATGTATGCCCTCCAAGAGAATATGTGATTCCTGGACATGACAGGTAAACTTCAGTTACAGGTATTAAAAGACCCAACATCATTCTATGGTTTAAGAGTTTTTGTGCTTGGGCCCAAATGGCTCACTTGGTTAAGAGCTCGCTCAAGAGCATGAGCTCTGAGCAATAGGGTTGCCAGTTCTATTCCCATATTGGCCTGAGCTGAGCTGCCAATAGGTGACAGGATGGCCTAGCTAAAAAAAAAAAGAGCTTTTGTGCTTAAATTCTTATCTATGAATTTTGTTCTATTGCTGTTTCTAGAGAGAATAAAACCCAGGTGAAAAACTTTGTTTTCTTTCTAGTTTTAGAATTAAAAATTCTTCTTAATGGAAGTAGTAAACCTGTCTTCTGTAGAATTATTTAAAAGATGTTTGTATCATTAGTAAACAGAATAAACATTGATTGTTTTCAGAATAAAGAATTTTATTTCTGGAAGGCAAAGTTACCAAGTGTAGAACAAAGAATTTATAGTGGTTAACTGCAATCTTAACTGTTAACAAAGGTTCTTTGCTCAGCTGTCATAGAAAAAAAAAGTGTAAGACATGACTCCTACCTTCAAGAATTTACAGTCTGTTGAAAAAATGCTTAGACCTTTGAAAAATTAAATAACCCTGAAATTATATTTTACACATATATAAAGTACTTTGCAAAGCATTTTTACATGTATCATTTAATTTCATCATATTGGCATGCAAATATAGCTTATTTAGAAAACATTAGTGTTTCCAAAACACACTCCTTTAACTTTCCAAAGCTTTGAATTTTTTTACAAAGAGCACTGATGCAAATTTCTTTCATGTCAAGTCTAGCTCTGGGAAAAGAATAGGATTCTTGGCCTCTAACCTTTCGCTTTTTGTGCTCAGATGTGTGAGGATCCACAGAGGAGCAGATGAAGGACTGGGATGGCACAACATGGCTTGCTCAGCATGTAGCCTGCATTCTTGGGTGACAGCATGTTCAACAGCTACCAAATTATAGTTTGATACAATAGAAGAGATGTTATAAGGCACGTTGTGATTCATTATCACATTAATTGTAAGTCTAATTACCACAGCAATTCAGAGGATGAAGAAACCACTTCAGTTTGTAAAATTCCACTGGACTGTAAATGCCACATGGACTGTTACCATGTCCTGATAAGTGTTTCACCCCCCACTGCCTAGCACACACCTGTTCTATAGTTGGTGCTCAATAACTTTGTAGACAGTGGTGATGAGGACATAAATACCCTGTTGAGGACATAACACTGGAGGTGAATTTTAAAGGATGAATAAGATTTCTTATGGTGTATGTGCAGAGGAAAGAATTCCAGTAGGATTAGTCAGTCAGCAAATGTTAAGAAAACACCTGCTATGTGCAAACACTGATCTAGGCACAGGGGTACAGCAGCTGATAAAATAGTCCCTTGGAACTACATTCTGATGGGGGAGGGAGAGATAGACTGTAAACACAAAAACAAATAAGCTCTCATGAGGGCTCTGAAAATTATAAAATTGAGTAACGTGCTAGAATGACTTGTGGAAGAGATCATTGCTTTTACCCAGGGTAGTCAGAGCCTTCCAAGCGGAAGGAGGTGTGCAAAGGCCTGACAGAAATTCAGGTAGCATATTTGAGGTTAGGAAAAGGGTCAGCTTGGCTAGAGATAATAAGGAAGGGGGTGGGGGAGTGGAAGGAGATGGGGTGAAAGAGCCAGCCCGAGCCAGGTCCCCTGTGGCCCTGTGCACACGGTGAGGATTGGGGTTTTATTTTGATTACAGTGGAAAGCTAAGCTGGAGAAGCTTGAGCAGCA